CCATTGACATTGTACTAATAATGCGCTTCCAATTAACGTGCACCCCCCTTGGCCGTATGTTCTAATTATTCATTTTTGAATAATGAATATGTGTCATTTGCTAGGTTGCCATTTTTAAATGGTCCTTGTAAATGGTCAGACTAAAAAGCTGGTAACTGCAAAATAATTTTACACTAAAATTTCTACTTAGAGGATAATTGTACAATTGCAACTTGCAAGTGTACATGTACATAAAAGGACCAATTCATTAGCTAAATATACATGAAGCAGTAGAATTGAATGGACTATTGTCCAGTTGAGGTGTCAGTCCAAGTTATAGTGACTAGTTGGCTTTCCTATTGCACATGACTACTATAATGTAGTACCTCAATACAAGGATACACTGTATACTCTAAACAACTTATATACATAAAGATTACTCATGGGGAATGACAATGAATCTTTCAATTGATAATACATACACACAGCACACACATTATAGTCACTTCTGCAGCCATTGAAGGTTTAGTCTCAGACTTTGTTTATAAAACTTAGTATTTATATACAGTAATTTTAAAGGTAAGTCCAATGTAATTTTGGGGCATTTATTTTATTGGCTTAATATGATTGCCTGACTATAATAATGATGTATTCCAACTCCAATTGTCTAAAAATTTTTTTCACTGAGATATGAGCCTTCAAAGATGCTCATTTTTGCTTCCTTCCTGTCAGTGGGTGTGGCTAAACATGTTATAGATACAGCTAAATCATTAGCTTTCATTATTCTAAGCATGCAACTGCAAGAAAATGTCATAATACCACAAGTAGGCAAATTTTCTTGTTTGCTATTTTGAATCTTTTTCTTGCAGTTGTATACTTAGAATAATGATAGATAATGATCCCAATCTTTAAATTAGTGCTGTTACATTACTAGGCATGAGAATAAAGGATTAGTAGCTGCATCTAAACCTCTAGTAATATGTCACGTTTAGCCACACCCACCAACAGGAAGTAACAAAAATGACCATTAATTTGAAGGCTCATATCTCAGTGAAAAAAATTCTTAGACAATGGGAGTTAGAATACATCATTATGGTCAGGCAATCATATTAAGCCAATAAAAAATACCCCAAAATACACCAGACTTACTCTTTAAAGATAAAATGAACTAGCAACTAACACTACTTCCAATTAGCTGATTCATTCACCATGCAAGTAATTTCACATCACATACATGAACTAGAACATGCTATTAATGCTTAATGCACATTGAATGCAGTTGGTGAACACTCTCTACACTACTTGCTACCTCACCAGTGTCAATTAGGTAGTAGTCGTCTAGACTAGAGTATACAGTATACAGTATCCTTGTATTGAGGTACTTCATTATAGTAGTCATGTGTAATAAGGAAGCCAACTGTATTTTAATTTATTTATTCTTTGGTTCCTTTTTCTTTCTCCCCCTCTCCAAATTTGCTACACAAAATTAATTCAAGAATTTACTAGAACGACATTTTGAAATAATCCTTGCAAATGGTCAGACTTAGAAAGCTGGCGGCTGCAAAATAATTTCACACTAAAATTTCCACTTAGAGGATACTGTATAGCGGGAAATTTTGGAGGGAGTAAAATTTGGAGAATTGCTAAATTTTGGTGATTGGTGGATTTTAATTTGGCAAATTTGTGACCATGTGACATTGAGCATGCGTATAATGGCTAAAAATGACGGATTTTATTTTGGCAAATGGCCAATTCGCCAAATTAAATTCCTTCCAAAATTTCCCGTGTTATGAGGTACATGTACAATTAAAACCTCACTTTCAACTTGCAAGTGTACATGTACATAAAAGGACCAATTCATTAGCTAAATATACATGAAGCTATAGAATTAGATGGACCATTGTCCAGTTGAGGTGTTAGTCCAAGTTATAGTGACTAGTTGGCTTTCCTATTGCACATGACTACTATACTGTAGTACCTCAATACAAGGATACACTGTATACTGTAAACAACTTATATACATAAAAATTGCTCATGAGGAATGACAATGAATGAATCTTTCAATTGACAATACATGCACACAGCACACACATTATAGTCACTTCTGACAGCCATTGAAAGTTTAGTCTCAGACTTTGTTTATAAAACTTAGTTGTAATTTCAAATTTAAAATGAACCAGCAACTACACTACTTCCAATTGGTTGATACATTCACCATGCCAGTAATTTCACATCACATACATGTACAAGAACTTACTATTAATGTTTAATACACATTGAATGCAGTTAGTGAACACTCTCTACACTACCTGTTACCTCATCAGTGTCAATTAGGTAGTAGTTGTCTACAGTATACAGTATACAGTATCCTTGTATTGAGGTACTTCATTATAGTAGTCATGTGTGATAAGGAAGCCAACTGCACTTTAGTTGATTTATTTTTTGGTCCTTTTCCTTCCTCCCCCTCTTCACGTTTTTTATACAAAATTAATTCAAGAATTTACTAGGTTGCTATTTTTAAACAGTCCTTGTAAATGATCAGACTTAGAAAGCTGGCAGCAACAAAATAACTTTACACTAAAATTCCCACTTACAGGATACTTGACAATTAAAATCTTACTTTCAACTTGCAAGTGTACATGTACATAAAAGGACCAATTTATTAGCTAAATATACATGAAGCTGCAGAATTGAATGTACTAATGTCCAGTTGAGGTGTCAGTCTAATGATAGTGACTAGTTGGCTCTCTTGCGAGACAAGACTACTATAATGAGGTACCTCAATACAAGGATACTGTATACTGTATACAACTTATATCTGAAGGCTATCATGTACCATGAAACTTGTTTTATAAAACTCTGTTTCATGAAACATCTTTCATACAGTAGTCAATGGAACTTGAAACATGCTTCATGACTTAACTTTACAAACTTTATATACATGAACCTGTAGAATTAAATGGACTATTATCCAGTTGAAGTATCTATCTAATTATAGTGACTAGTTGGCTCTCTTGTGAGACAAGACTACTATAATGAGGTACCTCAATACAAGGATACACTGCACTGTACACTATAAACCACTTATATCTAATGAACACTGGTGAGGTAACAGGTAATGTTCATTCAATGAAATGCATTTATCATCCTAATAATAGTACTTATGCACATTTAAATGAATTAGTCAAATGGCACAATAAAAGAAAAATTGTTTTCTAAGTTTTGTTAATAGTTAAAAAACAGTTAAACTGACACTACACACTGAATCATTATACTTTGATCAAAAGTTTATTTAGAGTGGCAGGAAGCTTCTTTGATTACCTTTCAAATTAACAATGTATCAGGCTTCATTTCAGTCCATCAATACATCCATGGAAATAAAAGTGGTGAACACTCTTCACATTACATGTTACACCTCACCATGCACTGTTCAGTAGATACATGTACATGTTGTTGTATACAGTGCTGTACAGCAATTGAATGGACTATTGTCCAGTTGAGGTGTCAGTCCAAGTTATAGTGACAAGTGGGATTTCCTATTGCACATGACTACTATAATGTAGTAAAAATGCACAAGAAAGGCAACTAGTCACTATAACTTGGACTGACACCTCAACTGGACAATTTTACAGCTTCATGTCATGTGCACGAGTTATGTCATGCAGCTAGCCTCTGATTGGTCAGTTTTTGCTTAATTGCTAATGAATATTGATGAGGTACCTAATAGTATATAAGGAGGTGACAAGCAGCAGTCAATCACTTCTCACTAAAACAAGAAATCATCTCACAAGAAGAAGAAATACTGTCTATCAAGGAAAGGAATCATGAAGACTCTACTCTCACTCTT